CACCTTGGGCAGAAGCCCTCACACTTTGAAACGGGATGCAGGCTTCCAGAGGATGCTACCCAGCGTGCCCTGTCCCTCCAGGTGGCCCATGGGTCCCTTGGGGACACAGGAAAGCCCTCTCCAAAGTCAAGGCTTAGGCCCTGGATGCCTGGAGGGGAGCCCACCCTAGCCCCCATCCTGGAATGGCAGGCTGCAAGAGGCCTTATTTCCCTGAAATCTTTTCTCTCAGTGGCCACTCCAGATGAGGACACAGCTCGGCCTTCTCTGGGGTCAGGTGGGTTGTCAGCCATTGCCCCCAGTCGCCGCCCTGAACACAACCTCCGCCGCCTCCCAGTGGTGGCCGGGCTACTCCTTGCCCGCAGGGACTTCGCGACTCCTGGGTGGTGTGTAGCTGGTCAAGCCCCTGTCCGTGGTCCACTGCACACCTGTTCCTAGCCACGCCTGCATCTGACTTCTTTCTTTTCTTCTTTTCTTTTTTCTCTGACAGAAACTCATCCAAGTGGGGCTCGGGTTAGCCAAGGTCACGAATGTTGGGGGGGGGCGGGTAGACCCCGCACAGGTAGGCCAGGGCTCCTTGAGTTCGGAATGCTGAGTCGCATTTCTAACCCCTGACCGGAAGATGCCGCATTTGGGAGCTTTTCTACCGAATACAGTTCAGCACGTGCCAGGAGGAGGAGCGGGGTTCCCCTGGGCCTGCGGTGCAATCTTGGGGGTCGAGATTGTGTTCGTGGCCCCTGGGAATGCTACCACCCAGCTCCTAGGTGAGCCACCTGGCCACTATATGAGTTGCTACTTTCACTTGTGGACGTTTGCCACTGGATGTTTTGGTGAGTCGTCCACTGCCCTCAGCCCGTTTTTCCTCCTCCTATTTTTAGGGGATTGAAAAATTATTCCCGGAAACGCGGCACCTCCCAGAGGCGGGAGCATCTCACTAGCCCAAGAGTTTACTTTTCAGCGCGACCCACGCGGATAAGAAGTTACCAGGTGCTCGCGCGGGGCCGAAGCCTGTCGTTGCTTTGCAGACGTAGCTGCAACTGTTTGTAAGAGTGGGGTGAAAAGATTTCTACACAGTGTATCTTCTGCAGAATTCCAGCTCCTCCGCCCGGCGCGGGCTTTTCCGCCCTCTAGTCTAGCTTGCAAACAGTTCGGCCACCGGATGCGGGTTGCGAAGCCCGCGCCCTGGAGTGCGGTCCCTCCTTCCAGCAGGAAGGAGCCCCGGCCAGCGCGGCGCAGTCTCCTCTGGCCTCTTGGGGACCGGAACTAGGACCTCTGCGCTCGCCCGAAAGCAGCCTCTTGCCCCTTTCTAACTCGCGAAGCGCAGAGTAAGAGCCACGCGGGTTTTTACCCGCTTGTGTAGTCAAGTCTGAGAGGACAGAGCTCACCGGGCATGGAGACAAAAGTATTTGCAGAGGAAGGTCAAGTTAAAAGCCAGGTGCAGCCGCCTCGCGGGTGTCCGAAGAGTAGGGCTGTGGTACCTCCTCTTAAGTTCTTAGGGAGAGGGCAAGAAAGGCCCTTTGGCCCAGCCGGACCGATCAGGGTCGTCAATACAATCGTTTACCCTCTGGACCGTTGGGGAGAGTCGGGGGAGGATGCACCAGGCAAAAACAAGCACATGCCAGCCATGGCCAAGGTCAGCGCGCTCTGAGGATGGCAGCGGCCCTCTCCGAAAGCCATGGCCTCTCAAACTTGGCCCTGCCCTTTCTCACCAACGCAGTAAGGTGAAGGACAGACTTAGCGCCACCCAGACACCACTTCTCCCTAAATCGAGCTGAGTTCTCACCGGGATCTGCTTTCCTTCCCCTCTCCTGCGCCTCCTCCTCAGGCCGTGCCACGCAGCCCCCAGGCGTGGCTGGAGAAGTTTCAGCGTCAGACCTGGCTGAGACCTTCCCCGCGACCTCGAAAATTCAGCCTAGGCCCAGGTGACTGCGGATTAAGCCCCCGCACTCAGATAGCTTCCGGGTCCAGAGTGTGTGCTTGGGGAGGATTTGGGACGCCTCCCTTCCTGCTCCCAGCCACACCCAGCCCGCAGACAGGGCAGAGAACGTGAGTGCAATAAAAGGACCAGATCGGCATCGCCCCCTCCACCTGTCCCATCCCTAGCACGGCCTGCAGAACTGTTCACGTGTTGGGGCCCCGTTACCAGGGGCAGGGGAGGGGAGTGCGTGCGGCTAAATGAGCACGGAAGAGCCCGGGGTCCAGACTGTGTCAAGCTGGGCAGGACTCTGCTGGCGCGTCCCGGGCACGGCAGTGCGGTGGCGGTGCGCACTCCGCACAGCCCGAGTTGTGCGTGACGGGCTGTCGCTGCAATGTGCAGCCCAGTGACACTGATGGATGCGCCAATGGCTGGACGGACAGATGTTGGGGCGGATCGCACAGCGCGCGGCGCCTGAGCGGGGGAGGGCCAGGCAAGGATCCAGCGGCGGCGGGCGATGCAAGACCCGAGCTCAGGCCGCGGCCCACAGGAGGAGGGGGCAGAGAGGACAGGGGTTGCGAGAGCTTCGAGGGAAAGGAAAGGAGGAGGGAAGCGGCACTGGGGCAAACTCCCAGCCTCGCGTACGCGGCGCCCGAGGCTGTCGTGCGCACCCGCGCCCCGCGCGCTAAGCGGGCGCTCGGCGGCTGGGAGGTGACCAGAGGCCGGGGGGGGAGCCGACCTGGCGCGGCTCGACCCTCCTCCGGGCGACGGGGGTGGCCAGGGCGCCCGCGGCATCTGCCGACTCACCGTTTCCCCGCTCGCAAGAAGCGTTTCGTGCCCCACGGCCGCGTCTCCCCGGCCTGGAGGGGTCGCCAAGCGCGCGGCCACCCGCCCCCGAGCGCGCCACGCACCGCCGGCCCCGCGCCCAGCCGCAGCCCGCCTCCGGCTCCGGCCCGCGCGGGTCTGCGCCCGCAACTCCGAGCGCTCGTGCGCGGGAAGGCGCCGGGGGCGGCCTCGTGGCCGGGGGACCGCGGGGCGCCTCTGCAGCGGGGACACGTCGGGCCGCGCCCAGCCCCGCGGGCCGGGGGCGAGCGGGACTCGCTCTTACCGTCAGGGCGAGACCGCGGTCTCCGGGTCTACAAGAAAAGAGAGCATGCCGTGAACTTCTGAAACAAACTTGCAGGAACAAGCAGAAAAAACAGGAGAGAGACGGGGCAGAAGAGGAGGGAGAGAGTGGCCGGGAAAGAGAGACCCCAACGAAAGGACGGAGGGGAGCGGGGGAGAAAGCTGGCGGCCGCCGGGGCGCTCGGGCAGCCGGGCCGGGGCGGGGGCGCCCGCCCTGCAGGGTCTGCGGCCC